CTTCATTCAGAGTGAAATTGCATGCTGTTACTATAGCATCTTGAATAAAAGACATGATCTGATATATCGGATTCAGGATTCAGGTGGTGTTTTTTTGTTTGTTTGTTGTTTTGTTTTGGTAAGGAGAATTGAACTCATGTCCTCAGCCTAGCCAGGGAGGTGCTGCACCACTACGCTACATCCCGGGCCTGTATTTCATCCTGGATGTTGTATTTACAGAGACTGGAGAAAAGAGTGAAAGCAGACTATTACAGTAATACAGATAAAAGATCAAAGCTCAACAATGGTAGAAATCAAGACAGAACCTGTATACAGTCTGAAGACCTCACAAAATTTACTTTCTGATTATTTTTGTTTCTCTGGTTATTCTTTTCAGACAGGGTCTCACTATACATATATAGTACAGGTTAGCCATAAACGCACAATACAGCCAGCCAAATGTGGCCTTAAAGATCCTCCTGCCTCTGCCTCCAGAGTGCTGGAACTACAGGAATGTGTCATCACGCCTGGTTTCCTTATTTCTTGTATGTATGGTAGAAATTTAGGAAAAAACAAGATTCTAATAAAATTCCAAAGGTTTAACTTGAGCAACAAAAAGATGGGGCACCAAAGGATGCTATTAAACAAAACAGGAGAAATTTTAGGAAAGCACATATCTTTTTTCTCTCTTTTTTTAATTTTTATTTTTTATTCATTTTAATGAGAAAAAAGATAAAATAGTTTCAAAATAGGTTATTAGGACAGTTACAATAATTAATACATTGTATATTGTTGTTTTTGTAATAGTTACTCAGAAGACAAGATGTAGACATGATATCTTGTTTAAACAATATTAGTACAATCTTTTCTTCTCAATGAACTAAGAGAAAGTAGGTGTGTATCTATCCTAACTATCTTGTGTATACGTATTTTTTTCACAACAAAATAGCATCTTATTTATACTTTTGCAAAGTTAGTAACAAGTTGGAAAACACAGATCTTTAATAGAGAGATTCTTGAGAAGTCACTTTGGGATAGGTTAAACTTGAGATGTCCATCAAGCATCTAAGTATAAAAATCATGAGTAGGCAATTATATACACATGTATATATATATATGTGTTTATGTGCTTAAATATATGGTTATATATATTTATATCTGTTCATACACAGTCTATAAATACTTTATAAGATATTTATATTCTATAGAATGGCTAAAACAAAAAATAATAATACCAAAAGCTTGCAAGGAGGCATAGAAGTGAATGACTTACACATTGCCGCTATAACCCCAAGACGAGAATATAAATTTAAGGCTCTCAGTACACAAGATGATATTTACAAATGTTCGTCACATGAGATGACCAAGGCAGTAAAAGCATAGAAAATAGGCCCAGGGACTAAGATTTTAGACATGTCAACAAAAAAAATGCCAGGAAATTAGATAAAATAGAATAGACTAAGAATAAAAAAGAAAAAAAGCCAGAAGAATGTGATGTCCTGTGACAACAAATGGGCAAAAATGATTCAAGAAGGGATAACCTTTTCAACAAATGGTCCAGAGCAATTGGATATCTATTGGTGAAACAGTGAACTCTGATCTAAACCTTATACAAAACTGAACTCAAAATGGATCACAGACCTAAATGTAAAACTAAAAATTCCAGGAAAAAATAGAAGAAAGTCTTTAAGACCTAGCACTAAGACTGTGAAAGCTTCCAGAACTTTCAATGGTACAGCCTACTGCAGCATGCTTGCCATAGGTTCACTACTATTAAACTAAGGGAGCACAATTCACAAAGAAAAAAACTAATAAACTAGATTTTATCAGAAATTAAGGTGTTTGCTATATAAGAGAAGCACTGTAAAAATGATGAAGCAAAGATGGAATGACAGAAGGATCTTGGGAAGAAAAGGAAGGGAATGAAGGAGGGAAGAATAGATGAATAAATGAACCAATAAACTGACTAACCAGGAGACCCAGCAACTGAACTCCTGGGCATTTATCCCAGAGAAAGAAAAAAGTTCACAGTGAACAAAGCACAAAATAAAGGATGGACAGAAGGAGACAAGGACACAGATTTCTTGCAAATGAAAAGGGCTCCTGGAGACCAAGGGTGAGAGGAAAGGGGAAAGGGAAATAAATAATAAAGCTGTGTCATGTACAAGAACCTGCTAGCCTCAATGAATGTAAATATTTTGTAATTAATATGAGATAAGATTAATAATATGAACAAAAGCAAAAATGGGGCAGGGGGCAGGGCACAAGAAATAAAGCAAAAGGGATTAGAAAAAGAATAAAGCTGTATTATGTACATGTACCCACTTCTCCAAATGACTGAAAACTAGATGTACTACTATCATGTGCTGATAAAAAAAAGTTCACAGGTTGTTCAGAAAGATTTTATTTATTTATTTACTTGTTTTTTGTCTACCTCAGGCTGCCTTCAGGGCGGGTCTGGTAGAGTTTTGGAGCTAGGAATCGAACTGCAGCCCTATGCGCCTGACTGCATTTGCCTAAGTAGTACTTTAAACAACTGAGCTATCTGGCAAGGCCCCCTCACAGGTTGTTCAACCATGGACTTTTAAGTATATGTAAATATTCACTGTGTCTTTATTCATAATAGGCAAAAACTGGAAAACAAATCCAAAGTTACTCAGCAAGTGAATGGTTAACAACAGGCAACATGGTATACCATATAGCAATAAGGACTTTTGAAATATAACAACTTATACAGTATAGGCCAAGAGAAAAACAAGTGCCAAAAGATATGTATGACTATATGATTGTAAGACTATACAACTATATGATTCCATTTTTTTTTTTTTTTTTTGCAGAACCAGGGATTGAACTCAGGTCCTTACACTTGCCAAGGAAGCGCTTATTCCACTGAACCATCTCCCTGGCCCCAGATTCCATTTCTAAAACTTTTTTTTTTTCATTTTTTTCATTAAGGAAGGGTCTACGGGATGTCCAGGGTCTCACTACTAGATTGGACTCATAGTGATCTACCTGTTTATAGCCTCCCAAGAGCTGGGATTACAGGCATGCGCCACCACACCTAGTCTCAATCGCTGTCTCAGCGTGCCCCGGAGACGGGGTCGGCACGGCAGGCCCAGGGATCAAACACCGACCCTTACGTCTGCTAGCAGGCGCTTTAATCCGCTGAGCTATTCGGCCGGCCCTCTAAAACATTTTTAAAATTAAAGAATTACAGAGATGGGAACCAGATTAGTTGAGGAAAGGCTAGGGTTGTGGGTGGGGAGGACTATGGTATACCTACAGAAGGATAGCTAAAGATAGTTTCTGGTAATAGAACAGTTGTGTACCTAAGCTGCAAACTAGTTACATAAATCCACATAAGACTTTTAGAAAACGATACACATAGATACAATATTGAGACAGTGATGAAACATGAATAAACTTTGGCCAATGTACAAATGTTATATTCCTAGGTTTGGTTTGCATAATAGTCATGCAAGGCATTATTATTTGAGAAAAAGGGTGAAAGGTATCTAGTACAACAACATGTTTTTGTTTTGCTTATAAGTTGCTGTGAATTTATAATTTTTACAAATAAAATACTGCCAATATTCTGACTTTTCAAGCCACTCTCATAAAACATGCCATCTATATAAAGCATTCATATGAACTACCATTCTTTATAATCAGGGAGGAAAGTGGTATTCTAATACTAAAAGCCTTGTTTTAAACCCCATTAAATTACTTCCATATTTAGGTTCTCAACAGGATACAAGAAGGGGTAACCATGCTTTACCATATCCTAAAGTAAAGACATATGGATGAAACATCACTGAGAAGATGAGAGTCTAGCTAACTAAACTTCAATGGCAACAATCTATAAACTATGGCCCATGAGAATATAGCCCACAGCCTCTTTTGTTGTAGCCCACAAATGAGGAATATACATTAACTCTTTTATTTTGTTTTGTGGTACTGAGTATTAAACTCCAGACTTCATGCATGCCAGACATACAATCTACCACTGAACAATATCCCCAGATTTTTTTTTTTCTAATTTTGCAATAGGTCCTCCTAAATTGCCTTAGGCTGGCCTTAAATTTGTGATTGTCTTGTTTCAGCCTCTTGAACTGCTCAGATTATAGGCATTCAATATGCAAACTCTTTAAGGAGTTTCTTTGAAAATCAGAGAAAAATATATGACAGAGACATAACACACTTATCCCAGTTTATCTGCAGGTTACTTTTCTATGGCTTCAGTTGTGGTTAACCACTGTCTAAAAATATTAAATGAAAAATTCCAGATGCAAATATAAGTTTTGAATTTAAGCTATGTGATGACACTGTCTTATATTGATCTGCTCTATCCACCAAAAATGAAGCATCCTTCTGCTTGCCTTGAAGAAACTTCCTTTGATGTGCAAGCATTCCTGATGCACATACTGCCCAACATTGTATATGCTACCCACCAGTTAGCCAATTAGTAACCAATCCCAGTTTTTAAATCGATACTTAAGGTACAGCAATGCTTATGTTCAGACATCCCTTCTTTTACTTAATAATGACCCCAAAGAGCAAGACTAGTGATGCAGCAATTTTATTACAGAATATTGCCATATTTTTCTATTTTACTATAAAGCATTTTTATAAACTTCTCACTGTATGTACACTTAATAAGTTAAAATTTTTCATAGATATGTATGTACAGGAAAAAAACAAAACATATATAGGATTCGGTACTATATGCAGTTTTAGGCATTTGCCAGAACTTTTAAAATGTACCACCTGTCAAGGGAGAACTATTATTGTTATTATTCGGTCCTTTTAGAAAAGGTTTGCCAACCTTGTTTTATAGTATTTCTCAATAAACTGCAGGACAACCTTGGAAACTAAGATTAGAATTTTGAAAAATCCCTCCTTCCTTACACCATCCATTTTGCCCTTTCACGTAGAAGGCTTCAGTTTTCTGCTCATTCCTCACCCCCAGATGCTCTAATCATTAAGTGTTACTGCAAAGCATTAGACTTGGCATAGCTTACCAATGGGAGTGCTGTCTTTAGGGAGCCCAGGGTCCTAAATGAACTTCTAAAATCATGTCCCCACTCAGAAATACAGTGAGCTTCATCCACAGCAATTAGTGTGATACCTATTTAAAAAATATACAAATGGAAAAAGTTCGAGGAGTGAAAAGACTTACATAAATCAATAGTTTTCATTTAGAATATACAAAACTTAAAAAAAGATTTTAAAAACCTACACTAATTTGGTTCATATTAAAACATAAGCATAAGTATGTAACACCAAATAACATCAAAAGTACTGGGAATAGAGGAGGGAAGATAAATGAATATGAAAGGCATTAGAATAAAAAAATTTATATATTACTTCAAATAATATATTTATTAAATTTCATTATTCATTATTCTTCAGAGAAGTATAATACTAGCACTTTCCTGTCAAAACTATCTTTATTAAGCACTTGTAACAATGTCTTTAAAAGTAAACAGTTCTATTTCTCTTCAATAAGGCCTTAAATCTTATTTCATAAATTAGCTATCAAAAGAGACAGAAAGAGTCAGGACATTTATACAGAGATTAAGTGCATCACTATCCCTAACTGATTACATATCGTATCACAGAAAGTCCCTCAGAAAAGCCAGTAGTACAAGATGACATACACAATTTCTAACATAAAAGAAAATGAGAAAAACTAAATCTCACAATATACAAGGTAGATAAAAGGAGGATCATCTACTCGTTCATTTTCGGGGTTGGCACAGCACACCAGGGGTTCTGGGGCTGGCACCGCATGTGATACCAGGTATCAAACTCAGGTCCTTGTGCTTGCCAGGCAGGAACTTAGACTGCCAAGCTATCTCCCCAGAATGTTTATTTGTAATCATACACATTCATTTGTATCAAAGGACCCATCGTTCCCAGCCTTCACTACCCATCAGAATCAGCTGTGAAAAATTACCAATGCTAAGCTCCACCCCAGGCCCATCACATCAGAATTTTTAAGGTTGAAGACCAGTTAGTGACACCTTTCTAAGGTTAAAGGGTGATTATTATGCACAAGGATAGAACCACTACATAAATTCTCCTTACATTAAAAATATGAAAAAATAGTAAATTATAATTTCATAAAATATGGGATTCAATATTTATTTAATGATATATCTAAGTAACTAATCATGTGTCAATCACTGCACTAGGGAAATATAAACAAGAATTGCATTTTCCCCTCAAAAAGTTTATACCCTAGCTGAAGAAAACAGATATATGAACAGGAAATTATAACAAGCCAAATTTCTGTGGTAAAAGTATGAGATAAAATAGGAAAAGCAACAAAGTGGAGGTCAGAGAGATTTCTTGGACATGCTGGAAATAAACTTTAAAAAAAGTTAAATCTAGTATCTATCTACAGGTTTAACTCCTTAGGGTAATAATTCAGTAAGTAATTATAAAGATACTATTTCATCACTTACCAATATTAGCCTGAAGTTGCTGGAGTAGATCTAAGTTACCTGAACAGAATTCTGGAGTTATATAAATAATCCGGTATTTGCCTCTGTGAAAAACAAACAAAATATAAACAAGAAAAAAAGCCACAGTAAAGAAAACAATCATCTCAACGAATTATAACTTCAAGTCAAAATACCTAATGTCTTTAAATGATGAAGTATGCCACTTATAAAGAACTAAATGAATTACATATTCACAAATATTAAGTGTTTGGCTTTAATGCACCAAAATAAAATGTGACAATGCCTGTGAGGGGATTTAGCACTATGATGACATTAAAAGCCAGGTTCTTGACTTCCAGCAGTCTAGTCCAAGAAACTACAGTGTTTGAGTTAAATGATCAAGCCTGAATAAATTTTTCATGATATTATCCTAACCATCATCACACTCCTTTTCTGAGAACTACAATCCAGACTTCCTGTTGTCCCATGATGAAGCCTTCAGTATCCATGTTTATTCTACATATTTTGCTTTTTCACCTAAAATTTATTGGGCCAGGGATAGGATGTCAGACCAGTTTCTCTCTGTCCTAGAATATGGAAGTCTGATCAGAAAACAACCAGTCAGTGGCACACAAAAGGGGGGTGGTCCACAGAGCAGCCATCCTTTATTTTGTGACTAGAAAAGCCAAGAATGCTTAGCACCTCAGAAGGAAAGAAAAAATGAGAAAGACACACAGAGACTGTACATAAAGTCAAAGCTTTATTGTAATTTCCACACTCAATTTCAGACATTTTCTATGGGCTAACATTTGTTCAGCAGGATCCATGAAATATTACTGTATCCCTAACATAAAATTCGGCACTTCCTTAAACTATTTTTAAGCTGATTTCTACTTTGCACAGATTATAAAATAGTCATTAAGATGGTATTTGTTATAAAGACTAGGTCTTGGGCAAAATATAGAATGTCTTTCTCCCTTTTACTGAAATTTTTTTTTTTTTTTTCCTTTTGGCGGAACCGGGGATTGAACTCAGACCCTTGTGCTTGCTGGGGAAGCACTTATTCCACTGAGCCATCTCCCGCCGCCCCCCCCCTTTTACTGAATAAAGACAATGAGTTAATGAGATGAAACAATGTTCCACCTACAGAGTTTAAGATAGTTAATACATTCATTCAAACAAATACTAGAGTATCTACTGTTTACTGGATATTGTACTTTCCCTAGAAATCTATTAGTTAAAAGAAAAAAATTACCTTGACCTTCAGGAAATTAACAGTTTTCTAATTAACACAGGAAATAATATAAAAACTTTTGATGTCAGACTGCCCAGTTCTGAAACTGAATTCTAATGCTAACAAGTAAACTGACTTTAGGCAGGTTGGTTAACTTTACCTTGCCGTTTCTTCAGAATAAGACTGATAATAATTATCAAGGCAGCTAATTCTTTAGATATATAGATTCAAGACAGCCCAAATCAAAATCTCAGTAGGAACTTTGGTTCAATAGGTGATGCTGAAATACTTAGAAATAGAAAGATCCCAGAAAATCCACATCAATTTTGAAAGAAGATCCTGGGTCAGATAGCTCAGTAGACTAAGAGCTTGCCTGGCAAGCACAGAGTCCTGAGTTCAAACCCCAGTAATTAAAAAAAAAAAAAAAACTTTAAAGAAAAGAACAAAACTGGAAAACTTGTACTATGTGACTTCAAGTTTTAATAAAGCTCTAGTAAGGAAGGATGACAGACAAGACTGACAAATGGATCTACAGAACAGAAAACAGAATGGCAGTAGACCGACTTTGACACAAGTCAAGTGTCTTATTAAGTAGCCAAGACTGGCCTCAAACTCTTCACCTCCTGCTTCAATCTCCTAAGGAGCTAAGAGTACAACGCATATTTCACCATACCTGGCTAGTCAAGTTTTTTTTATAAACATAAAAATTCAATTTAGTGGAAAAAACAGTCTTTTCAACAAATATAGCTAACTGGAACAACTGAACATCCATATGTAAAAATAAAATATAAGCAACACCTCAGATTACAAAATTTGCCTAAAATGAATCATAGGTCTAAATGTAAAATATAAGTTGTACAATTTTTAGGAGCAATATAAAATGAAATCTTGTGACCTTGGGCTAGGTAAAGGATTTCTTAAACACCAAAGCAAAATCCAAAGAAGAACAGATTGAAGAAGTGGACTTCATCAAAATGAAAATCTATTGCTTTTTAAAAGAACTGTGAAGAAATTAAAAAGAGAAGCCATGAGTTAGGATAAAATGTTTGCAAAACATAAATAAAATACAAGATTTCTATCCAGAATATGTAACTAACAAAATTCAGTAAGGGAAAAAGATCAATAAAAAAATGGACAAAAGATTTGAACAGACACTTCATCAAACAAGATATACAGATGGCCAGTAAGTGTATAAGAAAAATCCCGTAATTAGTAGGACAAAGTAAATTTAACACATAGTGCTAAACTTAAAATTATTAAATCCCTATGAAAATTGGTATAATTAAAGATTGGCCATGCCAAGAAATGTCAAGGATGGGAGGAATTTCATACATTCCTAGGGAACATGGAGTATAAAATCATATGACCATTCTCCAGAAATTTTACATTTCTGGCCAGACAGATAGAGGCAGACGCAGTCACTGGGGTTTGATCCTGGGCATGCCAGGCCCACCACAGGGGCGCTGACTGAGACTGGGTGTGGTAGTTTGCATCTGTAATGTCAGCACTTGGGAGGCTGAGAACAGGAGAATCACTATGAGTCCCATCTATGTAGTGAGACCCAGTACACCATGTAGACCTTGTCCTAAATTCATAAAAAAGAAAAAAACTTTTACATAAATATTCAAAGTACTATGATTCCAAAAAGTCAAGTAAGAATAACCCAAGTGTCCACAACTAGTGAATGGATAAACAAAATGTGGAATACCCATCCAGTGGAATATTATTCAGACATAATAAAAAATGAAATACTAATAAAATAATGCTAAGGAAAGATGACAGACACACAAAAAAAATGAGTTCATTTACATGAAATGTTCAGGGCAGATGTATTAAATAGAGACACACAGTGGATTAGTGGTTAGAATGCAATAGAAAAGGGAGCAGCTAGTAGAGTCTGGTTAATCGGTATTTGGAATTTCTGATGGCTGTTATATAACGTTATTAACACACCAAGAGCTACCAAATGTTTACCAGTACAAATGATAAATTTTATGTTATGTCAATTTAACCTTAACTGGTAACAATAAGTTAAACCAAAACCTTCCCAGTCATCCCACTCATATATACCAATGAAATGAAAACACATTTTCAGAGTAGCTTTACCACTATTCTAAAATGGAAACATTCCAAATATCTATTAACAGATAAAATGATACATTGTAACATATGCACATAATGTATTCTACTTAATAACAAAAGGAATGAACTATTAATAAATGTAATGTTATGGATGAATCACACAATAATTATGTGGCATTAAGTAAAAGAAAGAACATATAGTGTACAATTAACTCCATGTCTATACAGTTTTAGAAAACCCAAATTGATTTATAGTGATGGAAAACAGATTAACAGTTTCCTGGTAACTGGGGTGGAAAGGTAGGGAAAGAGAAAAGAAGGATTTAAGAAAAGTACCAGTAAACTTCACAGGTGATGATTATGTTCATTATCTGAATTTTGATGATGGTTTTATAGATGTGTACATACGTTACAATGTACCAAATTATATATTTTCAATATATAAAATTTACTGTAAATCCATTATACCTCAATAAAGGTAAATAAAATGTTCAAATATATAAAGCAGATGTTCACAAAAACAATGTTTTGGAATAGTAACATCCACTTCCTTACTAATAGCTCAAAACTAGAAACAGCCTACACATCGACCAATGACAAAATGTAAAAAAAAAAAAAAAAACTATCATACATTCATACTCAGACATTAAAAAGACCACTACTGACATATGTGACAATATTGAGGAATCAAAAGGACATTATGCTGAATAAAAAAGTCTTCCAGAAAGAAGTTCATCTTATGTGACTCCATTTACATGAAATTATAGCATTTTGTATCTGTGTATTCAAAGTGGTTAGGATAGATATATAGTTACATTCTCTTAAGAATAGAGGGATTTGTTCTAATGCTGTTTGTAAATAGGATATCAAGTCCGCATCTTGTACAGCAATTAACCACTAGGAAGAATGTATGCAATGTGTTAATTATTGAAACTGTCCTACCAATTTGGTTTGAAATTGTCTCATTGCTGTTTACCAATAAAATTATGGAAAAAAAATAAAAAATAAAAAAATTATACCACAGAAAAAATTGCACAGAAAAATTTAAAGCACTGGGGTCTGGGCGGGGCAGGAGGCGGAGGCACTGCATAGGCCCTGGAAGCCCAATGGGATGGGCTGGCTTGGAGCTTGCACTCGATGCGCCACAGCCTCTGCGCATGATGTTCCCCACCCAGAGGTCCAGCTGGCTCCTCAGTGGCCTCCCTGGGAAGTGTTCTGTCTTTCACCTCTTCGTTGCCTGTCTCTTACTGGGATTCTTCTCCCTACTCTGGCTGCAACTCAGATGTTCTGGTGATGTGGCCAGGGCAGCCAGGGAACTAGTGCAGGAGACCCCATGTCCGTTCTAGGACTGCCCCCTAGAGTTGCCCTGAGCACTGGGAAGAAGATGCATTCTGGGGCCCCCATCGCCTGGCAGTGTTGGTGCTATTCTGTGAATGCTTGAGGAGCTCCTGGTCTTCATGCCCCATATGCATTGCTTTCTGAGCAGGAATAAAATCCAGTATCACATCCACATACTCAACCAGGTGGTCCGTTTCTGTTCAACCAAGTAGCACTCATCAATGTGGGGTTCCTGGAGAGCAGCAACAGCAGGCTGCATTGCCATGCACGGGGTGGACCTGCTCCCTTCAATGAGGAGCTGGCATATGGCTTCCCTGGTGTGAGGCCTTTCCATGTGGCTCCCCCAGACCTCCACCCACTCTACCATTACAAGACCTATGTGGATGGCATCTTCCTTCTCTCCAAGCAGCATTACCAGCTGTGCAATGGGATGTCTAACCACTTCTGGGGCTGCGACTGAGAGGATGACAAGTTCTACTAGCACATAAAAGGAGCTTTTCCGCCCCTCGGGTATCACCACTAGTTATAAGACATTTCACCATGTACATGACCCAGCCTGGGGAAGAGGATTTAGAAGCATACTGCAGCTCAAAAACAGGAGCAATTCAAGGTGGATCCGGAGGGAGGCCTGAACACAGTGAAGTACGACGTGGATTCCTGCAGAGCCCTGTCTGTGAACGGGGCTCCCTGCACTGTTAACATCATGTTGGACTACTGTGACAAGGCTGCAATCCCTGGTGTACCTTTGGCTGAGTTGCATGAAGGGTAGGAAGCCTTTGCCTACAGGCTTGCTGCTCAGGCTCAGGATGAAACCGAGGTGTGGGGCCCAGATCTGATAGGATGTGGAGAAGAAATGGCCTGAAGAGACACCAAGCTCTGTATTTGCACCAGTCTGTTTCCCAAAGGGTGGCTTGAACCGGGGCAGGACATATAGGAGGCCTGGGACACTGCTGGCAATGAACAGTGACCACAAAAAGGCTGAAAACTGCTTCGAGTAGAACACTCCACCCCGCTTCCTACTTGCTGTACTCTGCCCTCCTTTGTGTGCTGAGACCTACAGGAAGTGGAAAGTACTGAACTGGACAACTTCTAATTAGCCTCTCTTTTGGTCCTTTCTGCCAGACTGCCTCAAACACACATATGGTGTAGGAGCCATGTGGCAGATGTAGTGTCCATTGCAGTTTGTTTGGCAGCTTAGAACTTCAGGAGCCAGAGCACAAGCCCCACAGATATGAACAGCAGATACCATCTCCAACTGGTTGTCACATGCAGGAATGTAGACCTCATATTACCAGATCTTTTGATGTTTCAAAAGAAACTAGAATGCTGGATTCTTAAGTGACATCAGATTTTTTAGTGATAGCACCTAACTGAAACTTTCCAAAAGTATACCAGGCCAAAAAAATAAAAGAAAAATTTAAAACACTGATTTGCTTCAGGTTGTAAGTGGAGAAAGATCGATGGGGAGGGACATAAAGAAACTTTCTAGAGTCACAGTAATACCCTACCATCTTGATAGGGGTTTGGGTTACATATTTGTGTGCATCACTCAAAACTTATTAAATACATGTATGTACAATGTATGTACTTATATATGTGTATACATATATTAATATGCACATATATTGTTAGTGTGTACATATTTATATACATGTATTTTTAGTGTATTTAAGGTGATATCCTTCTTGCATCATGAAAGAACTGGTGAGAAATTAGTGGCAGACCTATAGCACACATACTACAGCAAGCTGTTTTATCACTGACAGCTCTAAAAGGTTTGTCATCACTGGTCTAGTCCCTGTTCAAAAATTTCACTGTGTGACTGTGGGAAAATTATTTGTCTTGGGCCTCAGTTTCCTCATGGGTAAATAAAGCAGATGCAGATATTGTTTGAATTATATTGGTACACCTGCAAAGTTTACTAGTACCTTTCTTAGGGACCTGCCCATTAGCTCAGTTGTTCAAGTGACTGCTTAAACAGAGCAGTCAGGCTCAGGTTGCTGCGGTTTGATCCCCAGATCCTAAAGCTATACTAGAAATGCCCTGAAGGCATCCTGAGCCTTTAAAAAAAAAAAAAAAAAACCTCTTCTACTAGTACCTTTCTTAATCCACTCCTTCCTCTTCCCCTGCCTTTCTTACTCCAATCAACAATCACCAAAATCAAACTTTTATAACTCCATGACTACAGTGTTTTTTCGTATTTTTGTATTTTAGGGAAGGGTCTACAGGGTGTTCAGGGTCTCAGTACTAGATCTGACTCATAGTTATCTGCCTGTTTATAGCCAGGCACGCACCACCACGACCAATCTCAACTGCCATCGCAGTGCACCCCAGGGGCATGGCTGGCACGGCAGGCCCTGGGATCAGACCCCTGACCCCTGAGCCTGCTTGGAGGTGCCTTACCCCGCTGAGCTATTTGGCCAGTGACTATAATGTTAATTTTATAGCTCAGGAACTAAAAATAACAGAGCCTTCTAAGTTAGAAACACTGTAAAATTAATTATACTATGTACTACAAAATACACTTAAACCATGGACTTCTCATGCAATCAGTAAAATATTTCTGTACAGAACTTTCTCATATGCCATAGTCACCTGAGTAACTCACAATTTAACATCTTCTAGAAGATTTTTTGATTGTGCTGATCCAAGGAAACAGGCTGGAATGTTGGACATTCTATAACAAGAACAACAAACATTTCAGAGCAATGTACACATTACAAATGTTAGTATCATTTTATTTAATTTTTTTTTTTTTGCGGGGGGAGGGTTTAGTTTTTTTGGCAGAACCAGGGATTGAACTCAGGCCCTTGTGCTTGTCAGGGAAGTGCTTATTCCACTGAGCCATCTCCCCGGCCCCAGATGTTAGTATCATTTTAAATGAGAACAAATTTAAAAAGTTATAACGAGCATTCATGTTCTCTGCAATTTTTTCTCTCCCTTATCTCACTAACTTAATAAAGTCTTTCATGAGCCAGACAAATTTTTAAGGTTGAGTTTTTCATCAATAACTTGGGTTGAAGAGATAAAAAGGTTTTCAGAGATAAAAAATAACTTCCATGTATTTCTTACCAAACTAGAGTACAAGTAACGCAATTAATTTTAAGATAATAAATATTAATTTTTAGAAAATTTCATCAAGGCCCCCTAATTACCTTGATTTTTAGAAACATCAAGAGAGAAGACAAAGGCTGCAGATATAGATTAGTGATACAGCACTAGCCTAGCATGTGCAAGGCCCTGGGTTTAATACCCAGAACCAGAAAAAAGAAAAAGAAAAAAAAAAAAAAGGAGGAAGGTAAGTTCTTCCATTGAAGTATCATTTATTACTAGTAGGGATAAAACACAACTTGCAGCAATGTATTATTTTGAACTCAATTTTAACACACAGTACATCAGATTTTTCATTTCTCGAGTAAGGCAAGAGGGTAATGATGTGGCAATGAAAGCATTACATACTCAAGTTGGACCACTTGGTCTTCCATCAAGGAAATAAGAGGTGAGATGACAATGCCAATCTTTCCTAAGTAAACGGGTGGGTACTGGAAGCACAAGCTCTTTCCATAGCCTTAAAGTGAAAAATAATACATTCAAAAGATAAAAAATAAACATCTTCTTACCATGTCCTTATATGGCTGAATGATCAGTACCAATATATCGTCTTCCTAAAAACTATTCCATGCATAAATTTCAACATCTATTCCCTGTTCACTCTCTTCTCTATTTTAAACCACTTGTATTAGTATTTTGAGAGTTTAACAAAAGGTTAGCACTTTAAACCCTTTACGTTTTAGTTTTTGAAGGATTAGGTTTTTCACTTAAATATTACTTACCAGTTGCCATGACAACAACATTATCTCTTCTCTCTTCCAAAACGGAATGAATAACTTTCCACTGAACCCTTGAAGGTAAAAAGCAAATAGCTATTTTATTTGATCAATGAAAACTCAAATGATAAGTTGAAACTCATTTCATTTTCTACTTCAAATAACAGAATTTCATTTCTAATTTTGAGTTTCATATATAAATACACACACACACTAGAACTTTACAATAAGGAAACACCATTAATCAACTTCCCATTCAGTCTGGCTGAATTAGGAGTTCCATATGTATTAAATTTTATTACACATGCTTAAAGTACAAAATAAATTTCAAGCTTCACACTAGAAGATATATCCAAAAGAATCAAATATTTAAGAGAAATGGTGTAAGATTAAAATAAGAGAACTTTTGCAGTAATGGTAGTATTCTTTTTTTATTTGCATTGGGGATTGAACTTAGGGCCTTGTGCTTGCCAGGCAGGTGCTTACATTGCTGAGTTATCTTAGCAATATACTGATCCCCGGTGCCATGTGCCACACTAGCCCCGTCCCCAGGTGCACTGAGCCAGCCACCAAGTCAAGGTGTGGTGGTGCATGCCTGTAATCCCAGTGCTGGGGAGGCTGAAAACAGGAGGATCACTACGAGTCTGAGCTGCATAGTAAGATCCTGTACAAAAACATTAAAAAAAAAAATTGACCCTGACATGCATTTTAATATTCTGACAGATCAATAGAGAGAGGAATAGATGGATATGTGGATATATGGTAAAACAAGTGTAGTAAAATATAAATAGTAGAATCTAGGTGATGGATATATACATGGGAGGAGAGAAAAAGAGAATAAAAAGATTAAGATGTGTTAGGTACATGCAACACTCCACATGATGAGTAGATCATTATATATTGCAAACATATACTAATCAAAATTTAAAATTTTTTTCACCTTTATCTTAGAAAACTTTCTTATAATCTTTTTAAGATATGTCTAGATAAATGGATGTACCTAAAGACCATGCTCTTAAAATAAATTGGACACTCAAATGTAAATAACACATTGTTTTTCTGGTATGAGAAATCAAAAGCATAAATAAGAACTGAAATGTATAAAAGATATTATGAAATAGGAAGAAAATATTCCAGTGGGGAGAGGAACAAGAGAGAAAGGAGGGAGAAAAGCTTAAAAAATGAAAAAAATGGAAACAAAGCTTTTGTAAATGAGGAGGGGTTGAAGGGAGGAAAGGGAAATGGAAGAAAAAGAAACAAGTTATATCACACACACATACAAATTTTTAATAATGAATGTGATCAGGGCTGGCCAGATGGCTCAGCGGATTAAAGTACCCACTTAGGTAGATGTAGGGACCAGGTTTCCATCCCTGATGTGCCATACTAGCCCTGCTCCCAGGGCATGCTAAGACTGCGATTGAGACTGAACATGGTGGTGTGCCTGTAATCCCAGCACTTGGGAGGCTGAAAACAGGGGGATCACTACCAGTCCAACGTATGCTGCGAGACCCTGTACTAAATAGATAAAAAATAAATAAATAAAAATAATCAATGTGATCATTATGTATCTAAAATATAGCAAAAAGTCTCATTGGAAAAGGAGAAAAAAAAATGCTTACAAAGGCTATAACTACCCAACTGCTGGAAAATTTCTCTTTTACAATCTCAAGGAAAAACTCAAAAAAGTGGTCTCTGCTAGGCTAGGCTGAATGATCTTACCTAAGTGCTGCTTGCACCGGGTGCTCAGTTTATCAAAATTCACTAACCTGAAAACAGGAGGATCACTACAAGTCCGAGCTGCGTAGTAAGACCCTGTACAAAAACATCAAAAAAAAAAAAAAAAAAAAAAATGACCCTGACATGCATTTTAATATTGTGACAGATCGATAGAGAGAGGGATAGTTGGATATGTGATAAAACAAGTGTAGTAAAATATAAACAGCAGAATCTAGGTGATGGATATACACATGGGAGGAGAGAAAAAGAATAAAAAGATTAAGATGTGTTGAACCCCTATGTGTACTTTCCTATATGTAAGATATGCTTTAATTCTAAAAATTTTAAGTTTGAAAGGAAAAAAAGGAAAGAAATGTTTCAATGAAGTCTGTTTTGAATGCTTAAAACTGGAAAAATCTATTCTCTTTTTTTTTTGAAAAATCTATTCTTAATTTTTACATTCTTACAACTTTTATAATAACTTACTTGTTTACCTTACTTTTATTAATTTTTACTTACAAATACAATTTGAGTATGTTAAGTTTATCATTGGGCAATATATGCAAAATAGGCACACAAATACCTAATGAAAAACAAAAACACTAAATGGAAATTCATTAATAGCTTCAGTTTCAATGCAGAACCACTCAGTTAAAAGAAAGCCACTTTCCTTGCTTATAAACATGATTTTCAGCAATAAATTTTATTAATCATATATTTTAAAATAATTTTGTAGTCACTTCAGGAATTACGGTGTGGAAAATATGACTATAATTATTATCACAAAGCTACTACTAAATAATTCATCTTTTTTCCCCTGTGAAAAAAATACTAAAATATGTAATTTAATTGACTGAGATTATACTCACGGTTTAAAACTATGATGGCCAAAATAAGTCTTGAGGCAAATAACTTGCTTTGCAGTGGGTTCTGGCAAATAACAGTCTTAAAATAAAATAAAATGGCTATTATGTTCCAATAGAAATAACACAAGATAAATGGGAAGGAAAAGTTTATTTAATTTTTTTTTTTAAAGAATATAATGGTAAGTACCACAATTTACTGTTTTCTTTTCATTCTAACCCCATATCGTGCTCTGGGTATCAGTCCTGACCCTAACATTATTATTAAATTTTAAAATTTTGTTTTGGTTCACATTTTACCAGCACAATAAAATACTGATATTTTAGAATCAGCTATGCTTCTTAGATTTTTACATCTACAATGAAATAGCAATATACCAATCCAATTTTACAATATAGTCAACTTTCAATTAATGATAATCAGCTATTACATTAACATCACAAAATCTACAAATAAAACAAAATCTTCACTTCAGTTACCCAAACCTAGTTAACTAAATTTAATTAGCTAGGGGTTGGGGAAATGGCTCAGTAGAATAAGTGCTTGCCCGGCAAGTGCAAGGGCCTGAGTTCAATCCCTGGTCTGTCAGAAATAAATAAACAAACAAACAAATAAATAAATAAATAAATACATTTATTTAGCTAAATCAAGTGTAGTGAACTAAATCTAACTTAGTAATTATTAATTAAACTTACCTACCTAAATTCTGACCAAAATCCTAACTGCAGAGTACAGCAAGGCTACTATGTTAGCTCCACCCATGTGACTTTCACTATATCTTTAGGTCCAAAAATTCAAGAATGGCAAAGGAAGGGCAAAAAAGAAATCAGTCATCACTAAACAATTTAAAGCTAACTACTACACTTCTCAACTTCAACACTTCTAAACAGAAATGGATTTAGCTCTGGACAAATGATACTTATATTTAATATAAGGAAAGAAAGAAGACATATTATCAATACATTCATATATACTTTTCACCTATAAAATGTTTACTTCCATATTATGTCCATGAGGTCTAAGTCTAGTGTGAGTTCTACTTTATAAAAAGATCCTGATTTGCCATAATTTTTTTCACTTAATGAAAAATTAACTTAGTATATCCTTTAACAGAAAACCTAAAAATTAGCCCATTTTGTTCTTTTAAACTATTATTTGTTTAAATAATAAGCTTCTGAAGAGCAGATGCTATGTATCCATGTCCTTTGCAATGATCTTTAATATTTAGTAAATGATTTTATGACAATTAACCCATGCAAAGTTTAAAATTCAGAATGAAAAGCTTTACATCACCAGATTCACTGAATGACACAAGACTTTCATTACCTATTTTTAGAAACAGTAAAGTGCTTCACAGATATGACAGCACTAAAGAATGTAACAAAAAGTTTATAGGACTTAACAAATTAGTTAAATGCTTCAAAGCCCCTAAATTTCCAAACATTTGAAACTATACCATAAACTAAAGGCAGTAGTAGGTATCACAAGTCACAGCAAACATATTTCATTGCTTACCATCCTCACCTTCTTCCTCTTCAATGACTTCATTTTTGTCATCTTCTTTAATAGGAAGACTCAAACTTCTTTTTGTTTCTGAGTACTTAGAATGAATTCTTTCTACAGCATCACTATTTAGGTTTTCTAAAGACTGAAAGTTTCAAAGGCATTGTAAAAGTCTTTGACAGTATCATATCTTTTTCACCAAAACACAAAAGATTATTAACATGGCCTACATTTTTGTTCAAAGCTGGCAGCTGTACAAGCAATAACACAAAAAAACATGTGTGTTACTCTATAAATATGTGCTCAAGAATAGTTTCCAAGGCACAAGGCCAAAGATGGAATACTTCCAGCATAAACAAGGTTCATTAATAGCATATAATGAACTGCCCCTGGGAAAGTCTATCATAAATTTTAAATTTGGATAATTTAAAACTTTCAATTCTTTATTTTACTTAATGGTTTCAATTCTCAGGTGATAAATATACGTTTAAATCTTTTAATTTTTTTTTGCAATGAGTTTCTTTTTTCTTTTCTTTTCTTTTTTTTTTTTTTTTTTTGTATGTGTGTGTGTGGTACTGGGGATTAAACTCAGAACCTTGCACTTGCCAGGCAAGCGCTTATTCTACTGAACTATCCCCTCAGCCCCAATGAGTTTCTTTATAGAACACATCAGTCATATTCTTGAGTAAGGGTAAGGGTTAAAATATAAACAAATGATAAATGTGGTTTTGGATTTTTTTTAAAAAATACAAGATTTTAAAAATTTCAGGAAAGGAGTAGTATATATGTGAAATAAAATTATTCTTTTTAAATTTGGCTTTATCATACTTTTTCTCTCTCAACAAAAATATCATCTCAGGAATGTTAACATATTTTAATTTTATCCATAAACTTTTTACTAAAAAATGATATGGAAGGCTTTGTTAAACCATAGTTCTCATGTACTCTTTCCATGAAACCTTCCATTTATTATTTTTGCTGTGTTTAAAAAAAACAGTGTACTCATTTTAGGCCTGAAAAGAACAAAAAGTGATTCTGCTTTTAATTTTTATTCAAGCCCACAAACATATTTAGAAAGCACTGTAAAATAAAGTTCTCTAACACCGGCAACCAAGTTGCCTAAGATTCATTACAGAGAATATTTTGTTTGTACAAGTCCACAATAATTCTATCAATATATTACACAATTAAATAGTATTCCTCAGAGAAATGGTTGATAAATACAGGAATTATGATTTAGCTTATATTTAATAAATACTTAACTGAATGCTATGCTCTATGCTAGGCTCTCAGCAATACTTTAAATAATAACTGTTAACTGAGCTTCAAAAGGGGTAAGAAAAGTCACACAGACAATAAAGGGAAAGGAGCAACTCAAATCTACATCTAGATTCAGAACCTATGTTTTTAATTATCGTCATTGCAATTGCTACAACTAGGCCTCAAAAGTAAAAAATAAAAAATTACTCTTACTTCACAAAAAGAAAAGTCTGATCAATCTAAAGATCAGGAATAAAAAGTATACATATGGAACACTTGTGTTTTCTTCTATGTTTCCCTTACTTTGGCTACATTGGTTTTTTCTTTCTTCGTTTTCTTTTTTATCACTGGGGATTGAATTCAGAACAATGCTTATGCTAAGCACAAACTACCACAGAGTTGCATCCCCAGCTTGGCTTTGAGTAAAAGTGTAAAAAATATGTAAGTTATACATTCAATGTTCATAATATAACTGTAAAATTCAACCATTTAAACTGTTAGAAAAGTATACAAGATATTTAAAATCCATACTAACAAATACCAAAGTAGGTAAAGATTACTGACTATATAAAAGCAGAATGTCCAAATACAAGGGGACATATGTAGATGAGAAAAGAAACCAATGTCAAACTGAAGAGCTTAATCACTACCTCTATTCCAGAAAAGAATTAAAAGATAGTGATGTAAAAGGAACACAGAACATATGCAAATCAGTATACTACTTATAGAATATTACTCATGCATCATATAAAAATGAAATATGAATTGGAAAACAAATATAAAGTTATACAACTGGAAATAATGTGATAGGATCTAGTTTACAATTCAGTAATACTTTAAGTGTCCTTTGGAAAGAACATGAAGTAATTTTTCATAATTTTGAACATACCTTAAGCATCTCCATTTCTAAATCCTCATCACTTTCAATTGTATAAGAAGAATCTTTTTCATTATTACTGGGAGATAAGTGCTTTAAAAAAAAAAAAAGCATTTCAAAATTAATTTCCAGTAATTGATTACCCTCTTTTCTACAAAATAAAGTTATCAATGCTACTTATCTTTAGCCATCTTTTCTCTAAAGATAAATGTACAAATCATACTTATATGTTTATATGACAGAAAAAAAGTGGAAGGATAAAGGAAAGAATCAAATGGAAAGAAAGTTTAAAACTTACACAGCTTTGACTCACAGACTTGAAGTAAAATCCCTACTCTAGAGTAAAAAGTGAGAAGTTCAACCATGGCTAAACGTCAAATGTTGAAAAAAATCTGTACAGGTGAAAGTACATGTCTATAATCCCAGCACTCTGGGAGTCTGAGGCAAAAAGATTGCAAATTTGAGCCCACCCTGGGCAATTTAGGCACTTAGCAAAAATCTTATCTCAGAATAAAATAAATTTTAAAAAGTGGCTGGGGATTATAGCTCAGTGCCTGATTCTACCTCTAGTACTACCAATTTTTAAAAAGTCAATAACAGTACATTTTTTTTAGAGCAACTGATTTAAAAAGTAAATTTGGAGGGTGGGGAGATAGCTCAGTAGTCTAAGCACCTGGGTGACCAATGCAAGAACCTAGGTTCAATATCCAGTACCGCACACCATACAGGTCCCAGAATCCCCAGCAAAAGCATCATGCCAGCCATGGAAACATCATGTGGTAGTGCACACCTGTAATCCCAGTGCTGGGGAGGCTGAGACAAGAGGATTGTTATGAATCCAAGCTGAGTAGTGAGACCCTGTACTAAATAAATAAATAAATAAATAAATAAATAAAAAATTTAGTGTGACTACAAATCTTTAAATATTTTACAAATAGGATCTATATAAATTTGAAAAAGTGTCTGCTATATTATTCACTTAGTTTTTACCTAAGTTTGGATATGAGGAATCTTATTAATTTTCCAAGCCTCAGGAAGTAAATACTCAATAGCATTAAAATATACACAAAATGCTCACAAAAAAATTTAGAAAAGATATGCTCACAAAATGCCTAATACTTAGTGAAATAAAAAAAAGTACGGTCTTAAATCTCCAAATTTTAGGTTAAACAATGTTTAAAGTGTTTACAAAAAGAAATTACTTTTTAAATAAAGTCTTTAATGAATAAAGAAAAAAGTTAATGTTATTAAAAAGGCAATAACTGGTCTAGAAGTCATGAAATTACAATCATAATTCTATACTATATGAAATACACAAATTTGAAAGTATATGCCTAATAAGAAATTTTTGGAATATTAAAGGGTAAATAGATGTTAACAAAGGGTACTTACTGAAGAAGAAAGTTACTTTGCAAATGCTCTGAGGATATTTTGTAAACAATTTTAAAACAAAAACTTTCACAAACTAATGGAAACAGTTACTAATATAATTAAAAAGATTTTTTCTTCGTTAGAAAAATGAGAAAATAATTCTATTAAAATGGTTTTAAAATCTTAAGCATTTATTGCAAGATACGCAAAATTCTCAAGAATATGAGCATCATAACTAATTTCTATGAATGAAAACACAAAAAATTTAGAAATTAAAAAAAATGTTATTTACTCCCCAGATGATTGTGAGAACTAGTATAAAGCAAAAACATCAGGTATTTATTAAAATATTTCTTACCCTAACAAGAATTCTGTGCGAGAAAATACAAGCTTCCTCCAAAAATCAAGTTTAAAACAATGAGTAATAGCATATATGTAAAGAATACAAAAAAGCAGAGATATCTATGTAAAAGCATAATAAAATAGCAACTTATAACAAATGTCTATTAACACTATAAAACTTTACAATGCTGTTTATTATATTAAGTTAGGAGTGGCCAATAATGGTTCATAAGCCAAATATGGCCCACTGACTATCTTTGTAAATAAGATTTTATTTAAACTCAGAAGGTACATTTGTCTATGGCTGCTTTCACACTATGAAGACAGAATGGACTGTGTGCAGCAGCAAGTGTTTCTCCCATACGACTTACATTATTTACCACATGTCTCTTTACAGAAGTTAGCCCTGTTATCAATGTAAAAAGTTATCTCTGCTTTATTAAGTACCTCAGATTGAAATGAGACATCACTAACATCTTTTTCTTGAGCTTGCTGTTCCAAAATCTGGAGGTCGTATTCTGTAATATCTAATGACATCAAACAAGTTCTTTCCATATTTTCTTTCAATTTATTGTCTTTTGTTCCATCTTCAAAGCCATCATCTTCTTGTTTAATTGGATTTCCAAGGACATCTTCTCCACTATGTTTAATTAAATTATCAAGTGTCGTGTCCCATGTCTCATCTTTAACATTGGTAAAAATGTTCTGTTCCCTCGCTTGTTTCTGTTGTTCTCCATCAGCAGTTGAATCCTCCAGAGAGAGTAAGTTAAAATTACTGCTGGGCCTCAGGTCAGGTTCAGTGTTAGCAGAGGCAAATATTATCTTCTTCAGCAAATATAGATTTTCTGAAATATTTTTCAATATTATAGGAATCCTATAAAAATTTTAAGATAATTAAACTTTAATTACATTAACTATAAGATTGAAAGTTTTTAATAAAAAAAAGTCTCTAAAACAGCTTAGAAGACTCAATGGATTACACCTGACCTTCATTCCTAATGCCCCATGATAAGAGCTAGGTTACTCTCTAGCACAGATAGGTAATTCTGCATCCAATCATTGACTTACAGGGTCACAAAGAATTACTCATATTTGGTCCCAAACTGTTCATGCCAGCTACATTATTTCTTTTAATTAATTTAACGTAAAGTAAATCAATGATGTATAACAATGTCATAGAATTCTGCAGAGAACACATGGAAAGACTGAGCACGTGGGGGTTTTTGTTTTTTTCTTTATTTCTTTCCTTTTTTTTTTTTGGTTCCCAGGATCAAACTCACGATCTCACACTTGCCAGG